GAGAGAGAGAGAGAGAGAGAGAGAGAGAGAGAGAGAGAGAGAGAGAGAGAGAGAGAGAGAGAGGTACTAATGTTGAACAAGGAACAGCATAGGTTGGACAAATCGAAACAACACGGGTGGCAATACAAGAGTCTGCACATGTCCGCCCAGCCATACTTCGAGAAAAGGCAGAGTATCTTTTCGAAGCAACCAAATTTTCCACCCACGTTACTTGAGCAAAGGTAAACATGTCTACATGTCACAGCCTAGTGAAATAACAGGACTGCTCTGCTCTTGTCCAAAGCTGCGCCCACCTGGCCAGTGCCACCACACAATCACCGCCTTCTCAGCATCTCGAGACGACAGCCCTTAACCTCATTTCCATCTAGATTCCACTTCCTGATCTGGCCTGTCCTCCACCACCTTTTCACAACTAATCTGTCTAATAACAGTTCCATGCGAATACCATCGGCTACACGGGTCAAGTGTAACACTCAAACCCCAGCTTGCCTTCAACCAGCAGCAGAGAATGACCCCCCTGGCCAAGTCATAAGCTCACAGCCCATCCCATCCAAAAGTTGTGCATTGCAATTGCAAACTTTTTTTTTTTTTTTTTTCAGCGATTGTCAATTTTTTTTTTTTAGAGTTCTTAGCACTCACATGTATGGGCACACTTTTTTTCACTCACTCATCGTGGCAAACCACACACATCTCACAGGGAAGAATTTAGAAGTAGTACACAGAAGCATACATTTGAAAAAGGAATGCACCATTCATTTTGGCATAAGAACGGACGTGTATCGGACCAGGCGTAACACACTGCCGCGTATCTATGAACCAAAAGGGCGCACTTTGCAAAACATACGATAAAATACGGGATAATTTGGGAAAGAGTAAATACAGTTCAAATACCCCAGAGAGTTGAGATATGTTCCAAAAATGCCCCTGAAAGATGTGGGTAGAGCAGAATGCCGTTGCGGGCCGAAATCTGTGTTATGCCCATATCAAGCCGGCGCGGACCTCGCCGTTTGGGCCTTGGCCTTTTGCAGTCGGGCCTCAGAGAAGTTGGCGAGTACCAGCGCACTTTGAAAAGTTGGACGATACCTGGTATATCTCAACTTATGGGGGTATCTTGCAAATTATCCCTATTAAACCAAAAAAAAAAAAAAAAAGACACGAGGAGAAAAATGAAATCATTCATTTTTCTCATTCCTCTTCCAACTCCCCCTCCACCGTGCCTCTCACGTACAAGGCTCGCCACGTTGATGAAGTTGAGCGCGAGCTGCCCGCATCCCCGTGTGCCCTAATGGCCCACTTGTGTACTGTGAAAAAATGCAGAGCAAAGGGCGAGGGGATAAACACACACAAGAGAGCTGGAGAGAAGACAAAGCATAAAAGGGCAAAGGGAAAGTAAGGAGTGTGGAATGAAGATGCAGGCAAAGGAGAGGATAAGCAAAGGCTCAAACCAAGAGCTTAAACATAGACAGGGAGTTAACAGAAACTCCACACAGCGCAATGGCTTTCCTCACGACGGCATACCAGCATTTAACCAGTGCGACAAAAGCACAATTTGCACAAGATACCATCACTGAGCAACAAGAAATGATAGCTGCATGATTGCCTGCTCTGCTCTGATTGACAAGTATGTTTCCCATTCTGGCTGGGCGATGGAGCAAGGAGGGAACACCTTGGTGGTTTCTCAGAACTTCCACAAAGACGGCGACGCCACGAGAAACAAAAAGGATCCTGAAAATTTCACACAGATACAGAGACACAAACAATGAACTTTCCTTGACATCATGCCTTATTGCTTTCACACACATTTGTCCACCAGCCCCCACCCGCTTCTTTTTATTTCCGAGCAGATGCATTAGTGTGTGCCTCTGTCTATGTGTGTGTGTGTGTATGTGTGTGTGTGTGTGTGTGTGTGTGTGTGTGTGTGTGTGTGTGTGTGTGTGTGTGCATGTGCATTTATGCAAGCGGTGCATGCAGTGCGTGTGTGTGTGTGTGTGTGTATGTCTGTGAACTGTGTACGAATGCGTCTGCATGTATCCTGTGTGTGCTCCTGCGCTTGAAAGTGTATGTCTCTCCTCGATCATGTGTGCTCACGTGTGCACTCATGTGTGTAGTGCGTGTTCATGCGTGCATCTGTGCATGTGCTCAGGTGTGTGTGTGTGTGTGTGTGTGTGTGTGTGTGTGTGTGTGTGTGTGTGTGTGTGTGTGTGTGTGTGTGTGTGTGTGTGTGTGTGTGT